AATGTCAATAATGAGTAATCAAACCCGGAAGTGCCACGCCCAACTCAATTTTTTTTGAATAAGTTAATCAATATTCAAAATGTCACGTTATGTTCCAAATGTCAAGTTCCTACATAATAGAGGTCAAAAGATATAGGTCAACAAAAGTCAACAAAGGTCAAAATCGAAAAATGAAAATATCCAAATGTTAAAACCCGTTCCTTTTTTGAAACTATAAAGCTGAAACAACTGAGCTGTTAATACATACTGGTCAAAAGGATGAGGTAATTGTGTGCAAAGTCTCTTTTTGAACAAACGCATCCTATGCGAGTTATGCCCCAGCCCCAAAATGTAAACAATTAGTAATTCAACCCGGATGTGCCACGCCCACATAAGTTTTTTTGTCATAGGTGAATTTATATTCAAAGTGTCTAGTTGTATTCCAAATATCAAGGTTCTACATCAAAAAGATCATGAGATATACATATACCAAGCTCAAAAAGACGCAAATATTGTAAAAAAAAACTCAAATTTGAAAAAATCACGAATTTCAATTTTGCATTAAAATAACGATTGTTGTAAATCTATGTAAAGTGCATGAGAAGCACATTAGGAAACCGAAAAAATTAACCCTCTAGGTTAATTAGGTCACGTGCTAGAGCAGTCCAAAGTTGCGAATTTGGCTTTTTACGGATAGCTATAAAACCGGAAGTACATGTCGGAGGTCAAAGGTCAAAGTATCAAATGATAGCCAAGGTCAATGACCTTTGACCCTATGAAGGTCAAGGTCATCAAAGGTCAAGGTCACATGGTGTGATCGTTTAAAGCATGAAAAAATTTCAACCGGAAGTTGCAAAAAAGCAAAAGCGAAATTCAAAATTCGGCTCCCAATGTTTTTTGCGCAATCGATTGCGAAATACATTCACATCAAATTTGAGCATATCAACATTTACCCTGAGGCCCCATTTTGAGTTTTACAAAAGTGTGTTTTTTCAATATGGCGGCCAAAGTATCACTTCCGGTCTGGATTTTATTTTCTTCGTTTTTTGGTAATATCATTTACTTACGATCAGCATAAATTTCGTTGACCTATTTCAATTACACCGAAAGTTATTCGACCGGAAGTGGATTGTACTTTCAATTGATTCCCCGTTTAAAACCGGAAGTAAAGTTAAATATTTGACAACTACATATTATTTGCTTTAGTGATGTCCCTTTGCATT